CTTTCGCTGCAGCTCTGCCACACCGGGGACCCAGGAGGCCAGGATGTTCTTCTGCTGCCCTCTTCCTGTCCCTGGGGTCTCTCCGTGATAGGGGGAGGGGTTTCTTGGGTACCAGCAGGTGGGAGGGGAAGGAGCCCCACCTACCCACATCTCTCCCGTTGCAGCCGAGTTCACCGGCCCCCCACAGAAGCCACCACGGCTCAGCGCACAGGTATGCACAGGCTCCACCACAGCTGGGAATGGTTCTGACATGGGGTTCCACAAGGTGGAGACCGCGGACTTCAGAAACTTCCAAGATGCTTGGAAGACCCATGAGGCCCAGAGAGGGCTAGGCCTTGCCTGAGGCCTACAGTTAATTTAGGAGACGGCAGGGGAGAGCCGGTTTCCTTTCTCCTGTGCTCTGATGTCTGACCAGTGGGAGAGCTCATTGGTAAGGTCCCAGGCCGTGGAGGTATACTCCATCACCTAAGGACTTTCGAAAGGGCCTGGGTCCCAGGGCCTGGGGATGGTTCACTTGGTCAGATGTAAGGCCATCGGCCGGATTCCAGGATGACTCCCTGCTAGAGACCGCTGCCCGGGTAGCAGGCCTGCCCAGGAATGAGTAGTCGCAACAGTGGGGTCCTCCTGGCTTCCCTACTCCTCCCCAGCCATCTGCCTATGCTCTCAGTCCATCCAGCCCACGGCCAACCTGGACCGGACGGATGACCTGGTGTACCTCAACGTCATGGAGCTGGTGCGGGCGGTGCTGGAACTCAAGAACGAGCTCTGCCAGCTGCCCCCCGAGGGCTACGTGGTGGTGGTGAAGGTGACTTCAAGGGCGCACCTGTGGGGGCGGGTGGGGGACTGCTGCACACTCCAGCCCTGGAAGTAAGAGGGGTGTTGGCAGCCGACCCCAGGGGAACAGGTAGTCAGAGAACTCAGTCCCAGGCAGCCTCAGCGCGCAGGTCCCACAAAGCAAGCCGTGACCGCTGCCCTGCCCCTTGTCCCCGCAGAACGTGGGGCTGACCCTCCGGAAGCTCATCGGGAGCGTGGATAGCATCTTACCCTCCCTGCCGTCGTCTGCGAGGACGGAGGTAAGTGTCATCACCCCAGACCTCTCCGCACGGGTCACTGCCCCCCAGCCTCCGCCTGTGCCAGGGAGGCGCCCCGCAGGGCCAGCCCAGGGGCTTCCTGTCTGCCTGTCCAAGACCCCTGCAGCAAGCTCTCACTGTGCATCTGAGCAGCGACCACCAGAGGGCCCCAGAGGGCCAGCGCCTAATTGCAGAGTTCTTCCCCAGTGAGGGTCCTACTGTGGCTTACCCAGAATCCCTCTGTCCTCTGTGTGCCACTGAGTTAGCAAACCTCTGCTGATGTCCAAATGGGAGTCTGCGGGTGGACAAAAGCAATGACTCTCAATGACACCCTAGTCCCCAGCACCTGTGTCCATGTTATCTTGCCTAGTAAAAGTGAGCCAGCGGATATGACGTGAAGGATCTGGAGCCAGGGAGGTTATACCGGATGGATAACCCAGGGGGGCTGGTATAGACAACAGGTCCAGGTAAAAGGGAAGCAGAGCTCATGCCTGTCATCCTACCTACTCAGGAGGCTGAGATCTGAGGATCACAGTTCAAAGCCAGCCCAGGCAGGAAAGTCCACAAGACTCTTACCACCAATAAACCACCAGAAAACCAGAAGTGGTGCTGTGGCTCAAGTGGTAGAGAGCTCGCCTTGAACTGAAGAGCTGAGGGAATGTGCCCAGGCCCAGAGTTCAAGACCCATGACCGACCAAAAAAGAGGGGAGGGAGATGAAGGGGGGGGAGTTCATGACAAGAGCTGAGGCTGGAGTACCACTGCCACTGGAAGGGACCCCAGCCAAGGCAGCCACGGCCTCAGGGCCGGACAGAGCAAGGACAGGCTTGTCACCCCTGCTGACAGCCAGAGCCTTTAGAATGGAGCGTCTCCGCGGATGCCTGCCTTTCAGCCTTCGATCTCCAGCTCTGTAAGAACGCATCGGCACTGTTTCATGCTACTGACTTCGTGGCAGCTTGCTATTCTGTCCCCAGGAAAATGTCTATAGCCAGTTGTCAGGCTCCTATGGAGGCCTGTGAGCCGTCAGCCACGCGGCGCGGCCGGCCACTGTCCTTGTGGGCAGTCTGTGGCTGCTCAAGGCGGGGCAGAATAAGAGTGTTTAGGACATTTTCTCACCTTCTGGGTGACAGCCACAACCCACAGAGAGGCAGGCCTGATGCTGACACTAGGGATGGCCTTTCTCTCCCTGACCCATCCACTTGATGAGAAACCCTCAGGGTCTGACGGCTGGGCACCAGGAGGCAGTGGCAATAACAACAGCGATGGTAGTAGTAGTGATGGTGATGATGATGATGATGATGTGTTCCCAGGGAGGCCTAGACAACCAAACAAATGGTGGGTGTGTTTGACTGGACGGTGAGCTTGACTGCTGGCCAATGAAAAGCTACCGCTGCGAAGGGCGGGCATGTCAGGCTAGCTCGGGCTCCCTGGTTGGCTGGGGGTCTGGAACGTGTGTTGGTCAGGCCTGGTGGATCTGGACCCGTGCCATGTGGAGGACTGGATCCGGTCTAAGTTCGGGTCCAGTTCACTCCCTGAGAACTCTGACTCCCTTCCCACCCTCTGAGCAGCTGGCCTCTCCCATGTGACCTCCCTATAGATTGAGGGCACCCAGAAGCTGCTCAACAAAGACCTGGCGGAGCTCATCAACAAGATGCGCCTGGCCCAGCAGAACGCGGTGACCTCCCTGAGCGAGGAGTGCAAGCGGCAGATGCTCACGGCCTCCCACACCCTGGCGGTGGACGCCAAGAACCTGCTGGACGCCGTGGACCAGGCCAAGGTTCTGGCCAATCTGGCCCGCCCACCCGCAGAGTGACCGGGCGGGCCGCCTGCCCGCGCCTTCCGCCTTCCGCCCTGTGTGTCGTGTGCCTCCCTGCCTTGCCTTTGGTCACGTGGTCTTCCGGGGAAGGCTGACGGGAGTCTTTCCCTCGCCCTGTTGCACGACCCCCCTGCTCCCACCCTAACCCAGACCGTGCTGCTCAGGCTGCAGCTGGACAGAGGGGATTCTGGGCATGGACACGGGCCGGGGTGACGTATGGTTCAGAGGGCGGGCGTGCTGCCACTGCCCGACACACACACCCCCACCCCAGCTTGGGTGCTGGGGTTTCCTGGGGCTCACAGTGGTGCTCCCCACGGCCGAGATTGCTTTATGCATGGACATGGCAGGCCCGCTGAAGAGCCAAGGGGTCCTCTCCCTGACCTCCCCAGGCCTCAGGGGTCCCCTGCTGACGGAGGGCCAGAAAGGGGCTCAGCTTTGGGGAGCAGGAGGTGGTGAGAAAGCATCGGGCCTGATCCCTCTTGTACAGTGTACATTGGAGTTTATTTAATGTGAGTTTGGTGTGGACTGACTTGGGCCTGGGACATCGTCCAGGGCCAAGGACGCTGCACTGTTGTGAAACCAGGTGTCAGTCAGGGAACAAGGCAGAGAGACGGGACGGAGGCCGCAACAGGATTTGGACCACGCTCTGCTCTCTTCTGCACCTATCTTCTCTCATTTCCTAACTTCCTCCTCCTTCCTTCCCTCTTTTCTTACTCTTCCTCTCCTCTCCCCCCTTTCCTTCTCTGCCCTCCTCTTTTCTCACGTGTTTGTGTAGCACATTCTTTTACCTTCTTTCTATTTGCCTTGTGGTTGAATTAAAATTGTTACCATTTGCTTTGTGGTTGGGTTGACTGTTTGATCCACTCCTTCTGGGAGAATGCTGACCTTGAACCACAGCCCTGGAAGAAATCCACTGTGCTCCTGACGGACACAGATCAGAGTGACCCGTGCTGGGCTTTGCTCATGGAGAGCACATGGTGACCCCAACAGTGGGATCGGGTATGCGTTTTCCCCCCTTTGCTCTGCCGTGGTCCACATGGCCACGTAACTCAAAGTCCTTTTCCTTGGGAACCTGGGGCATCTCGCAGCTGCCCCCAAGCCCACCTGGGTTCCGGAGGGCCTGAGCGATGTGCATGGGGAGATACAGCCGGCAAGGAGAGGTCACACCTCGGAGAGCAGTAGGCAGCTTGATTTCATCTCTTTACTCACATGCAAGATGGGCAGGGGTCTAACACCCCCCTCCCCCAGACTAGTGGTGGCATAGAAGCCTGGAGCAAAGGGGAAGGGAGGCTGGGCTGTGTTCATAGGGAGAGAGAAGACCCGAGGCCAGAATGGGCCACTATGCAGGGGTCTTGGGAGGGAACTGAGGAGCAGAGTCTGGGCCAGGGTCACACGAGCAGGTTTACCCTGGATCTGTCAGGGAGAGGCATGTGGAGCTCAGAAAGAGGGACCCTAAGACTGAAAGAAACTGGAAGCGCACCCTACTCTGCTCCCCGCCTGGGAATCTCTTCACTGGCGAGAGAGAGCTGGGGTCCCACCCTCAGCGGTGGACAGAAGTCAGGAGAGGCCCAGTCCTCTGGGGATACCCTATTCCACAGTGTGGAGCAGGCCCAAGCGGCGCAGGAGGGTTCCGAGTGAGCTGTGTTCATGGCAGGGCTCGGGGAAGGCCCTTCCTGAAGCAGCAGTCTCAGGCCCCAAAGCCATCCAGCTGCCCCATCCCCCGCTCAGAACCAGTGTCCATGTGCGGAGCCCCTCACCAGGGCGTGAGAGGCATGGGTGCAGCCCCTGCCCAGGCCCCCCTTCCTCCCCCAAGCTCCTCCTCTAGAGGTTGTATTCCGTTTCTTTCCGGGCCTCTGCTTCACCCCGCCCCCTCCCTTCTGTCACTTAGATTCCTTTTTGCTTCTTCAAGGACATCTAGTTATTCCACACCACCATACTGGAATCTGTGTGGCAAGTTCCTTCATCTTCCCTAGTTCCTCAGCATCTAAAATAGAGCTCTCTGGTCAATAGTCTCCGAACCCAGTGCAGTAAAATCAGGGCAAGAACCAGGTTAGGGGTCCGCAGAGCCGCCGTAGGCAGACGATGTGGACCCTAATGGGTACCCCCGAGTCAGCGCAGTTCAAGATGAAAGGTGAGGCTTGCAAGACTCTTGGAAGCGACCGAGGGACCGAGGTCAGATCATTCCAGCCAAGAATGGAGGAAGAAAGAGCCCAACTGTTCCTAGGAAGCAGACGATGATAAACAGCCAGAGGAATATCCTGTCGATGACCATGGCCACATACTTCCAGTCTTCCTTCACCTGCAAGTAGAAATGAGCTCATGGAGATAGAGGCCAGGCCTTGCAGAGAGGAAGTCCCTCCCACGCCCGGCCTCTGGGGATGACAGCAGGGCAGCGGCAACTGCCCCGCCGAGGCCCCCATCAAGCTAAAGCCACAGTTAGGCAGTGGATGGAGGGGACGGGGCTGGCCCGAGGCTCAGCAGCCCACCTCCAGGAGTTCAGCCTTCCCAACCCTCCACGTGGCCCAGAGCCCTCTGGATGCAGCCACGCCCAAGAGGCCAAAAGGACCAGAGGTTCTAGAACTGTGGAGGCACAGCGTGGCTCTGGCCCTCCCGGGGCCGCGCCCAGCAAGTGCAAAGTCCACACTGTGCTGGTCCACACTGCCCGGGAAGCAGGCAGCTGAGGCGAGGTCCAGGGCAGGGCAGCGGGAGCAGGGGAGGGCACAGGGGAGGATTCGTGGGGCTTGAGCTCACAGCCCAAGTCAGGGGCTCTGCATTCCTCATCGCCTGCAGATTAGTATTCATGTTCTTACCCACCTAACAAAGCCGCCTAGTACCCGCCTTGGCCTTCCATCCCTGCGGGGCGGGTAAGGTGAGCCCTGATGCTGGGCATGGGATGGGGCACTGAACAGGGCTGGAAGACCCCCACCTTGCTACAAGTAAGAATCTGCAGTGTCTGTGGGTGAAGAATGAATTTCACCCGAGGCCTGGAGCCTGTGGAGGAGAGCCCTGGTACAAAGGGGAGGTCATAGATACCAGACTGGTATCCCTGGATTCTCCACCTGCCAGGCCCTGTCCCCACCTCTTCGGCAATGGCAAGGAAAACTGGCAAGAGGCTGCCTTGGCATAAGCCAGCGTGTGAGCATCTCCCTCGCCGCTAGCTGCCTTCCAGGTGGGCCCAGCAAAGGGCTATCTCTACACCACGGTATTCTGCCCTAGACAGCAAGCGTCCACAGAGCTGCCCAGAGCCACGACTGAAGGACATGCCAGTCTTCAGGAACAGAGACCGAGTTGGTCCAAGCCGGTGTCCAGGGTGTGAGATGGCGCCCCGCTAAGCTCCTCACCCTGCCCAACGCACCATCGAGTCGGCATCCTCCGACCGCAGGTGCTCGGCGATGTAGTGCACGCCTTCCAGAGCCTTGTGGATCTGGGGTGACAGGAGGAGCTCCCCGTCCGGCGGTGATACAGCCTCGGCCTTGGGCCCTGGCACTCCCGCGCGCAGGCCCTCACGCGAGTAGAGGACCCCCACAGAGGGGGGCGGGAGGCCCGCACACACCCATCTGTCTTCCTCCTCCTCCTCTTCATCTGTCTCCTCCCGCTCTTCGGCATCCACATTGCTCTCCAGCCAGTGATAAGAGGGGCTGAGCTTCAGATCGGGGGGTTGCCGGAGCTCCACGGGGGGCAGGGGACGCCTCATCAGCAGCCACCGGGGCAGACAGCCAAGCAGCACCATGCGCACCCAGCAGGGCATGGTGTGGGTGCTGGGGGAGCGGTGGTGCACGTTGAGCACGAAGACGGTGATGACGATGGACAGCGTGACAAAGATCATGGTGAAGAGCAGGTACTCGCCGATGAGCGGGATGACCAGCGAGGTGGACGGGATGATCTCGGTGATGAGCAGCAGGAAGACGGTGAGCGAGAGCAGCACAGAGATGCACAGCGTGATCTTCTCGCCGCACTCGGAGGGCAGGTAGAAGACCAGCACGGTGAGGCAGGAGATGAGCAGGCAGGGGATGATGAGGTTGATGGTGTAGAAGAGCGGCAGCCGGCGGATGACGAAGTAGTAGGTGACGTCGGGGTAGATCTCAGCACAGCAGTCATACTTCTTGCTGTTGTAGGTGCCCGTGGCGTTGATGATGGCCCACTCGCCGCTCTCCCAGTAGTCCTTCAGGTCCACCGTCTGCTCCATCTGCTCCAGGTCGATCTTGGCTTTGTCATAGGTCCAGGAGCCGAACTTCATCTTGCAGTTCTGCTGGTCAAAGGGGAAGAAGGTGACGTCGATGCTGCAGGAGCTCTTGTAGATGGCCGGGGGCACCCAGTGCACGGTGCCCGTGGAGAAGAGGTGGGCCTTGGTCATGTGAGTCACCGCAAACTCTCCATCTGCACTGGAGAGAGGACACGAGCTGGGGGGGGGGTCTGCACGCGGAACACCCCAACCACCAAGTCCGCTGCCGGCTGGGCAGTGGTACATGCCATGCAAACGTGCAGTCGGGCTGTCAGAGAGATCAGATTTGCACTCCTGTGGCATATTTGAAGTCACAGTGTTTATAAGTAGTTTGCTTGTTTCGTTTTATTTAACTTTTTTTTTTAAACAATACTGGAAGCTGAATTACTCAGGGACTCAAATTTACTAAGAGCCACACTCTAGCCCTTTGGCGTTTTTTTATTTTCAAAGGGGGTCTCAAGCTAACTCTGTCTTTGAGTAGCTGGGAACACAGGCTTGTGCACGTACATGCGAACGCACACACGTGCACCCACACACACAGCTATTCCGTTAGTATTCTAGACGGATCCATTTTAAGTGCATTTTTCCCTTAATAACAAATGGCAGGTCAGCTCCCAAGTGGAGAATCATGACTTTTCAACCTGGATCTTTTGTTCCTTGCTCAGAAGAGAACTAGGCTTCGGGCTGGTGGAGTCCACACAGTTACCATGTGGTTCTGAGCCAGCCTCATTCATCAGGACAAGGACTCTACCTGAGGCGCTCGGGGACCCACAGAGAAGGAGCCACCTTTCCCAAGGGCTTTGCCACCAGGAGGCACTTTGAGCACACCATGGGGGCATTCAGAGTGCTCTTCCCACCTCAGAAGAAAGAGGCCCTGCTGCTGGGGCCAACACGGTCGTGATCAACACCACGCCCAAGGCCTTGACCACCATGGTGAGACTGGGTAAGGAGACGGGGAGAGACTATCGCAGCAGAAGGTCTCAGAGCAACAAGGAACAGACCAGGCTAAGGACAGCTCTCCCAGGGCACACCGGGGCTGGCCGGCGGGATGTGACTCGTGGTGGTGGAGATGAAGTTGATCATGTTATGGGACTCAGTATCCAAAGTCCCTGATTCCACTGGTGTTGATACGTCCCAGGCTCTAAGCTCCGTTCCTTCCCACCCAATACCCAAAGCTAACCCTACATCCTCGGATTCAGAAGTCGCAGGAGCAGAGAACATTCTTTCCCACACAGTAGCTCAAGGGTAGGGATAGAGGCTGACTGTAAACAGGAGCTGTGAAGGAGAGCAGCCAACACCGCAAGCAAAAGTTTAGCTTTTGAAAAGAGCCAAGTGTGGTGGTGGTACAGGTCTGTAATCCCAGAACTCAGAAGGCTGGGGTAGGAGTATTGTGAATTCGAAGCCAGCCTGGGCTATTCCAAGAGCTATCTTAATATGAATATCGTAACATAAATACTTTGATTTGAATAAATACCTTCATATTTCAAATAATGAAAAAGCACTTGGCAATTTTATACAGTCACCATTAGATGGCAACACACTCTCATATCGGGAAGGGAACAGTGCTGGTTTGTTGATCTCTGCTCATCATTAGGAGGCTGTGTCCGGACCAAATAGGCTTAAGAGACTTTAGACTGGTCTTGGTCCTATCAGAGTATTTTCGTGTAATAGTCAGGTGACACCGACCAAAGCTTTGTTGGCAATCTTAAAACTCCAAGTCATTCCTGACCCCTGGACTCTGTTTCTGACCTCTGCACAGGACACAAAAACTAGAAGGAACCAGGGTGCCAGCTCCTGGGCGCAGAGCAGGAAGGGGCCAGGCCAGATTCCAACAGCAGCACCGGCAAATAGGAGGCACCTGGTGATAAGTGGGTGTTTCCCAACATGGCTTGGGGAGACTCTGGGCCTGCCCAGGATTAGACAGTGTAAGGAATTACTGCTTTCCTTTGACCTATCTGGAGAGAGAGAGAGAGAGAGAGAGAGAGAGAGAGAGAGAGAGAGAGAGGACCCTCCTCTTTGTCCTATTGTTTAAAAATAGCATTTCTATAGTAGGCTCCTACTGTCTGTGTTTCTGTCCCACAGGTTTCCTGCAGCAGTCCAAAGGTTCCTGTGCTCTGATGTTTTCCACAGATCTGGGGGGGTGGGGGGGACGTTGTATGTGTGGCAGACGCTGTGCTGACACTGTTATCTATAAACTGCCAACCACAGGGCCTTTCTTCACCTATTCATACCTCCCGAGGTATCGGCGTGCTCCTACAGACCTGCTCCAGAAAACATTTTTAGACAACTGTCACATCGGCTTTTACATTTTAACACTTAACTTTGTCTGCCTGATGTCACACACCAGTGAAACTATACATTTTCTTTCTTTAAAAAATATATATATGTATATTTCCATTTCTTCTATCAAAATGTTAATTATTGAGTGGGTTCATTTTGCCCCTGTCTTCTATGGGCTTCACTTATGAGCCTTTCATCCCTTTTGGTCTTATATACAAGGCAACTAACAAATAAAATGATGAAGAAAAAACAAGCCGGGCACCGATGGCTCATGCCTGTAATTATAACTACTCAAGAGGCTGAGATCTGAGGATTGCAGTTCAAAGCCAGCCCAACCAGGAAAGCCCATGAGACTTTTATCTCCAATTAACTACTAGAAAACCAGTGGCACTGTGGCTCAAGTGGCAGAGCACTAGCCTTGAGCCAAAGAGCTGAAGGACAGCGCCCAGGCCCAGAGTTCAAGCCCTGCGACCGACCAAAAAAAAAAAAAAGAAAGAAAGAAAGAAAAGAAAAGAAAAACCAAACCAAGTGATTATGTCTCTGGTGTAGGTGTTATTACCGTAGGGCGCGACTGAGCCGTTCCAACAGCACCGTCATCCTCAACTCCTACCCTTGGCTGTTTTAGAGAGCCAGCACCATGTTTTTCAAGAATATTCAACACTGGAAAACCTTGTTCAGCTAGCGCCGGCTGCTGGTGGAGCCGGCACTCAGTGAATGCTGGTGTAGACCCTTAGAAAGCTTAGCAGGTTGGAAGGAGGGAGCAAGAGGCTAAGCACCGGAGGGGCCTCCAGGCGGGGGGGAGGGGGGGGGGCTCCAGAGGCTCCTACTTGTTGTAGAGGACAATGTCGGGGATCCAGATCATCTCTGAAGGGACCCGGAGGGAGGTGATGTTGCCAAAGTCAGCGGGGTTCCAGCGCAGCTTGTAGTCATTCCACTCCTGCGGTGGGTGACGGGAGGCGGTCATTACCTCGCAGCCCGGCGCCCAGCCCCGCGCCAGCCCCACAGAATGGCTGACAGGGGATGCTGCGCCAGGAGAGGGCTCCGGCCTGGCAAGCGGGCACACCATCAGAGAACGCACCCGCTTGCTTCTCCCCGACGTGGGGTACAGCAGGCTAGTCCCTCAAGCCTGGGCTCCCCAGGGGAACGCCCCACGCACCATGGCATGCACCCGCGGGAAGTCACTCATTACAGTCGCTGCCGCTGGCAAGGTGTGACCCTCCGCCAGGAACAGCCGCCCCCGGGGGACACGGCTTTCTCGACAGACGAGAACGCTAAGGACAGGCAGGCGTGGAGACGGGCAGGACGGCGCCCTGCGCGGAGACGGGCGGGACAGCGCTGTGGGAGGCATTGTCCCCACTTCCCCGCGGAGGACGCGGAGGCTGTGAGGGGCCAGCTGGCTGGCCCAGCTCCCCATAGGCGGCCTGGCCCCCGCTGACCCTGGCTGGACCCCTCACTCTCTCTGTAGACTCTCAGGGTCTTTTCCTGGAGGCTCTTTAGCTGAGGAGCCACCGGACCTCACAACCACAAAACCGTGAGACGTGACCAGCGAGTCCTTGCTTTCCCTGAGCTCAGTGCCTAGGCCCTCAGCACACAGAATTCTCTAGTGGCAGAGCCCAGGGCTCAGAGCCGGACACACGTGAGACCTGGGGACCCACTTTTCTAGCTCAGCGGTTCTCTGCTTCTTGCTTTCCTCTGCTGTAAAACGGGCAGCATGTGGCTGCAGTGACTATACAAGGAGCTTCCCTGAGAACTGTTGGGTGACGTGCAGGGGACATTCTCAGGAGGAGGACAGAGAGAGCCTGGCCACAAACGAACCAGCCCCGTAGAGAAGCAGAATCAGCCGTAGAGAAGCAGTCTGCAGGTAGCTGGCTTAGAGCAGCCCACATGCCCTGTGTGTGAACCCTGAATTCAACACCTCTGTGCCTAGGTTCTGGGTGGGGCTGAGGCCCAGTATCTCAATCCCTCCAGCGAGATAAGCCCTTCACCTGCTTCAGCCAGACGTTGGTGGTCATCATTTGGTTCTTCTCGTCCTGAGCAGAAGCGGAGAGAAAGTAAGAACTAAGAGTGGCTAGCCAGGCTAGAAGGCAAGGGCACGCAGGAGGCCCCTCTCCTGTGATCCCCAAGCCCAGCGCCCCCCAGCCCTGCCATGGACCCTCAGATTCTTTAGGGTCACCCTGGGGTGCTCTGGATGTGTGTTTAGGGAACTTGCAAACCAGTGCACGGGAGGGGCCGAGAACTGAGGCAACCCAGGAAGAGCAGGCCGGGCAGGCCGGGTCCAGGCTGGAGCTGGGTGAGGGGGAGAGCTGATGTGGGGGGGGAGCTGGAGGGGGGAGAGAGCTGGTGGGGGGGAGGGGGCTCCAGGGAAGGGCTGGGCAAGCTGGGGACTGATCCTGTGGGGTTCAGGGCGGAAGGACTGGAGTACCACGTCAATGAGCTGGGCAATGGACAGTCCGAAGCGCACAATGACCACATCCGAAGTGTTGGGCACCGGCCTGGCCCAGCGGTTGTAGCTGCCGAAGAGGTATTTGAAGAGGCGATCCTCGGCCAGGCTGTGAGAGCCGCGCTGCACCAACGCTGTGGGGCGGGAGAGAAGGGGGGTGGGGGGGCTCCCTGAGACTGAGGAGCTGGGTGCTGTTCTGTCAAAGCAGAGGTGCCAACCTCACCACCTGCACTTGGTCCTGGCCACTGGGCATGTGACTCCAAACCCCGCCTCACATCCTTGTTGGGATTCAACATAACAATGTCTGCCCGAGCCCAGGGCAGCGCTGAGATGCCACAAGGTTCCTGCTCTGACTGCCACCCGCTGTGCAGTGACAGAAAGCGTGAGGACTAAGTGCTCAGCCAAGCAGCACCTGGGGAGAAGAGCATTCACAGGAGAGTCCAGACTCAGTCCAGAGGGGAAGAGCCCAAGTAGGGACAGGAATTGGGGAGACAGCTGGTCTCTGGGGGTGAACTGCGGGGGGGGGGGCTTCACCCTGTATAGCAGCAAGCAGATTCCTTCCCTCCCACTTCCAGACAGACCAGCGGGGCAGCCAGCAGATCATCCGAGCCAACGCAGCTCTACAGCCCTGACCAGCCGCTGGCTGCCATTTCTATCTGCGTTCCACAAACATCCTCACCCCTTAGGATGCCTTGGTCCCCAGCAAATGGTAAACTACAGCAGGACCACATGGGACAGGGAGCGGGGCGGTGACGAACGCCGTGTGTCCCGAGTGCCTGTCACAGCCCAGGGGCTGGCCCCCGGGCCTTGATCCCTGCCCCCCACGGGAGCCCTGCAGGGTACGGTCTGCAGACAGTGAGGTGTGAGGCAGGGGACAGTCAGGACGGCAGAGCTGCCCACGGCCCTAGAGAACCAGCCATCAGGCCATCACTGGCCCCTGCAGCCGTGGTCATGACTGTGAACCAGCCAAGCAGGTTCCCACGGAGTCTGTGTGGAGTGGGTTCCACTCACCTGCCGGTATCAGAAGCAGCCACAGCAGGCCGAGTCTCGTCAGGGAGTGGAGTGCAGGACAGAAGTTGCCCATGGCTTCAGAGCGGGGCTGGCTTTAGGCTGTGCCCTGGGTAGCCTCAGGAAGCTGGCAGGGAGGGCTGCAAGGCTCTGTCTCTCTGCTGCCCCTGTGTGTGCCCAGAAAGGCTCATGAATGACACAGAAGTTGTCCATGTTGTTCATTCTGCACAGAGGTGTGAAAAATGAGCAAGTAGCCCTGGCAGGCCTGCGGGGGGAGCAGGGCTCCCTGCCTGTCCCTGGATCGATGGAGGAACTGACTGCTTCCTCTTCTTCCCAGGGCGGCTCTGTCTACCAGGCAGGGGCTCTGGGGCACCCCTCATTCTGGCCTTCTTGTCTCAACCTTTAAAACAGGCTAATCATACCAGAAGAAAACAGGGTGATACCTAGCCAGAAATGTCCATCCACCAAAGACTAGATGAAGAAATGGTACACCCAGATGATGGAATATATTCATCCTTAAAAAGGGATGAAGTTCAACATGTGCCGAATGAGCTACCTTGAAAACTGTGTGCTACGTGAGAGAAGCCAGCCACAGACAGCCCCTCCGTGTGTGAACTGTCTGTCCAGGGAGATCTAGAGAGGAAGGAGGCAGACGGGTGAGGGGCTGAGCAGGGGCAGGAGTGGAGTGACTGACAATGGCCACTGAGTTTCCTTGTGTAACAACAAAAATAATCCCTTAACTAGGCAGCGGCCTGGCTGCACAACTCTGCAGAGAATCCACAACTTCCCAAACCACAGTGTGTCTAACGATGAATTCTATAATGTGTGGATAATCTCAGAAAATCTGTTCCATTGAAAGAATGAACACCTTCTGGATCAAGAAGAAGAAGAGGTCCCTTCCTTCGACTGAGGAATGGGCCTATGCAGGGCTCAGAGTGCCACTGGGACGTTTCTGATGGACACATCTACACCTGACTGATTTCCTACCATAGGCTTGCACTCCTTACTGGATATAAGAAAGTGTTTTGTATTCATCATTGCCTGCTATGTGCTTGATATGCCCTTCCCAGTTTCTTTTCTTTTCCTTCCTTCCTTCCTTCCTTCCTTCCTTCCTTCCTTCCTTCCTTTCCTTCTTTCTTCCTTTCCTTCCTTCCTTCCTTCCTTCCTTCCTTCCTTCCTTCCTTCCTTCCTTTCTTATTTTCTCCCTTTCTCTCTCTCTCTCTTTCTTTCTTTTTTCCTCCCTCTCTCCCTCCCCCCCTCTTTCTTTTTTTTTGGTCAGTTGCAGGGCTTGAACTCAGGGCCTGGGTGCTATCCCTGAGCTTCTGTGCTCAAGGCTAGTGCTCTACCACTTTGAACCACACCTCTGCTTCTGGTTTTCTGGTGGTTAACTGGAGATAAACATCTCGGAGCTTTTGCTTCTTAGGCAAACCCAAGTTGCTCAGATCTTAGCCTCTTGAGTAGCTAGGATTACAGGTGTGAGCCACTGGCGCCTGGCTTTGCCCTCCAATTTCCTAAGTAGGGGGCCAGCCAGGCTGCATATCGACTTCCATCTCTATTCCCCCATCTGAACGGCATGCAATAGTCAGTCAATTGTAGGAAGGGGAAGCAGCCCATACTCATGGACAGACTCATAGCTCCACAAAAGGCAGAGCGTCTTACAGTGGAAAATTGCTCAGCCCTGAGAAAGAACGTTCTGGCACGTTCCCCAGTAGATATGAACCTTGAGGGCATTATGCTAAGCTGACTTAGCATAAATCCACTTACTTGAGGCACCTGGAGTTGCCGAAGAGACAGAAAGTAGAATTGGGGCTGCCAGGGGCCGGATGGAGGGCTAAGGAGTTGGTGTTTAGTGTTTAGTTAAAGCTGGGAAAGATGAGAAGGTTCTGGAGATGAAGGGGGGTGATGGCCGCACGGCCCCGTGATGCACGCTTGGGCGAGAGTGAGAGCGGCCCGTTAGGTTATGTGTATCTTATCCTATCAGTGAAAACCAGGCCCCGGTGCACACGCGGGATCTGGCCAGCTGAAGCATTTGGAAGCCACCAGAGGCGTCAAAGCTAGGGCAGAGGCCGAGAAGCTTCTGGAGAAATGAGACTTGCTGTTGCAAGCTTGCTCGGGAAGGGTGAAGACTGGGTCCCGTTCCCTTTGTCTGTCAAGTGGCATGCATGGCGTGCTCTTGGAATGTGCCCATGAGGGTCGGGGGTGCTCACAAGAGTCGCTGGAGGGAGGGAAACCGAGGCTGACCCCTGAGTGGAGGGAGCAAGACCACTATTTGTTCCTATAAACATTCATCCACTTATGCTGCCACTACCTCCTCCTTTATCAAGACCAACAACAAGCCAGGTAATAGTTCCCCTCAGAGGAGAACTGGGAAGAAAGAAAGATGTAATCTAGATTAATTAGATCTAATCTAATCTAATCTAATCATTCTCACTGCTCTCGCAGCCAGGTACAACTTTGTTCCTGAGACCCCACTGGTTTCCAAGGTCACAGAGCCGCCATCCGGGCTCCTCTCCTCTATTTTGTGCCCTCTACCCTGGCAGGGCTCTGGACCCTCTGAATTTACCTTTGGCCATTGCTACCTCACCTCCACTATCACCACCAAGTGGGAGATTTGTTTGCTGGTTCAAATAACAGAGTGAGAGGCGGCAATTCTTTATATTGTTTTTATCTGGAATTAGGAGTCAGGGCCGGAGAAGAGCAAGGAGAGGGCTCTGGGGTTAAGATTGATTTCACCTTTCAGCCCAGTGCATTAAACACGTGAAAGATGTTAATGAGAACAGGAATGGAGCAGGCCGAAGCTGTGCCATTTAGAGACCCAAGGAAGCTGTCCTGGACGCTGTGGGAGGAGGTGCAAATGAGAAGAGGTCCCCTCCAGAGAAAAACGAGCCGATCCTGCACCATGCCTCTGATTTACATCCTTTGTAATTAGCCGACTGTGATCATTTCATTAATTTGTCACCGGAAACCGAAACAGAAGTTGCGCCAGGTAATTGGCAGTAATCAGACTACCCTCCACCTCTAGTTGCAGTGGCATTTAAAGAGAAAGAGCTCTGGATTCGAATCTACTCTATGGCTATTGCTAGGTTTGGGGGTGAAGGCCAGCAGTGGCTGATTTCCGGCTTAGGGAAATGGGGTGCATGGAAAAGCCTATGTGAAAACCATCGCCCGTGTGAAGCCCTCAGGCATGAACACCCCATCCCACGCTGTGACCCCCTCCCGCCCTGTGACCCCCTCCCGCCCTGTGACCCCATCCCGCGCTGTGACCCCATCCCGCGCTGTGACCCCATCCCGCGCTGTGACCCCATCCCGCGCTGTGACCCCATCCCATGGTGTGACCCCATCCCGCGCTGTGACCCCATCCCGCGCTGTGGCCCCCTCCCACGCTGTGACCCCATCCCGCGCTGTGACCCCATCCCGCCCTGTGACCCCATCCGGCGCTGTGACCCCATCCCATGGTGTGACCCCCTCCCGCGCTGTGACCCCATCCCGCGCTGCGACCCCATTCCATGCGCTCACTACAGCACCTCCCACCCATTAAACCTTTGTACTTTGGTCCCCCCCTGCCGTCCATCCTGCTGCAGCGTTGTCCAGCTTCTCACCGAGCAGGCTGCATTTGAATCTTCACATCAGCACCATCTCCTCAGCAGAGTCTGCTTCAATTCCACCCAAGCCTCCCTCCCCCTTACATCAAGCAGGGGAGCCCCAGCTCTTGCATTAATGGTCCATAAGGCACCCCTGAAGAAGCCCCTGGAATTGAGGATAGGATATTTCCTCTCCTTCCAAGCAGTGGTCACGAGGTTACAGAAGCACCTTGGGGCGCAGTGTGTGCATCCAGCTTCCACAATGGCTCTGTTCAGTGACTTGATCCTCACGGGACCCAGATGTCAAGGTCAAGCGTAATCTCAAAGGTCACATGAACGCCAAGCCAGCCATGTGCATATCTTCTCCCCAAGCCCCAACCACCAGCCACCTAGCAATGGAGAACTTGCTCCCTTCAAGTCAATAAATACTTCATCAGGGTCTGATAAGTCTAACTCACTGAAGCATTCAATTTACCACGTTAGTTAATAAATGAGCAAAAGGGAGAATCATAGTAATAAAGATAGAGATGCAGATTCAGTACCAGAAAGCCCCTACTTCTGAGACTGGAATAACACAGAAGCTCAGGGGTGTTTTCCTTACATGGCTCTGAACAGTGCCAGTAGGGACAGAACTGGGGAGAAAATTCTCCCAGGACCAGGCAACTTCCAGCTTCCTGCCACGGTCCCCTCCAAAGTACTTGCACGTTGCCAGTATCCCTCTGCACACATCCACATTCTCCCCACACAGCTAACATCCCAGGAGCCTCAGAGGCATCAGGCTTACCTGCAGTCAGAGAAGAAGAAGAAGAAGACGGGCTGTTCCAGGGACACCCAGAACCAGCCTGCTCGGAGACTCGGGGAAGCCAGTGAAAGTCCCCTCAGAAATGGAGAGGCAGGTGCAGCGGGGAGCTGGCCCCTTCATTTCATGGTCAAACAGATGCAGAAACAGGAGGGTCTAAGAGGCACCCTGGTGGGGTAATGGGGGCGGGCTGCCTTCTTCCTCTGGTAGCTGAACAAGTTCTGCAGGGCGCTCACTTCGCCTGGAGCTGCCCAGTGTCCAGGTCAGGGAGCCAGGGAGGACATCACACAGGGACCACGAAGGAGGGCATTGGCAGAGCCCGCACAAAGGCCCGCAGGCAGAACTCAAGCCCTGCCCAGGAGGGGAGGGGCTGTTAGTGTAGGGAACACACAGACACCCTCCCTGCCCTCCCTCTCTCCATCCCTGCCTCCCTCCCTCCCTCCTTCTCTCCATCCCTGCCTCCTCCCTCCCTCCCTCCCCCCCTCTTTCCCTCTCTCAACACACACACACACACACACACACACACACACACACACACACACACGCGCGGGAGGGGCAGGAGGAGGAGGAGCCTCTGACTATTCACTCTGTGTCCAGTGGGGACAGACACAGCTCCGGCTTCTCTGCCTGGCTCCTATGTGCCTTGCTCCCCGCCCTGAATGACTCTGGGCTCCCTGAGCTCACCTCAAATGAGTA